CACCAACTCCCGGAGTTTACTCAAACTCATGTCCATTGAAATGTCGGTGATGCTATCCAACCATCTCATCCTCTGTCATCCCCGTCTCCTCCTGCCCTCAATCTTTCCCAGCATCAGGGTCTTTCCCAGTGAGTCAGCTCTTTGCATCAGGTGGCCAAAGTATTGGAGCTTCAGCTTCAGCATCAGTCCTTCCAATGAATATTCAGGACTGAGCTTCTTCAGGATGGACTGGTTGGATCTCCTTACAGTAGTATTAGTAGCAATAGCTTTCTGTGCATCAAGACATTTTCTGAGTACTTGCCATGGATTGTCTCATTTAATCCTCGCAGCCATCCTGTGTATTTTGTTTCTCCCTGTTTCTCCATTTTACAGAAAAGAAACCTGAGGATTAGAGAGATTTGCCCAAAGTCATATAGCTAGGAAGCAACACAGCTGAGAAGCAACAGAGCTGCACACAGACAGTGTGATTCCAAAGTTGATATTCTTTTTTTTTTATTTTAAGTTGATATTCTTAACCTCTGAGAATTCTGATTCCATACCATTTCTGCAGCCAGTCTACAGTATAACATCATCGTAGTGATTGTGCTGTAGGCAAGTGACTTTTTTCCCTTGTTACCTGGTTGACATTTTTTAACTGTTTGGTCTTTCTGGTATCTGATTTAATTCAACTTTTTTTTTTTGGTTTAGAATTCTTATAGAAGAGATTGGATATTTACTGTTGTCCTTGCTTGAATGTGGGAACCTTGTAGGTTCAAGGTATATAGGTCTTGGCTTGTTAAGAATAAAAAAAGTTATTCTCAGAAGATCTAGTGACAGGTGAATTGCAAGTTTCACCTGCTCACTTTGCTTCTGTCCCACACCTTGGGAATTCCTTAGTGATCTTTCTTTTGGGGGTGGGGGGGGGAGATGGTGCTTTTACTGCATGTCTTGCAGGATCTTAGTTTTCTGACCAAGGATTGAACCTCAGACTGATAGTGAAAGCCCCAAGGCCTCATGACTGGGCCATCAGGGAATTCCCAATGATCTTTTTTTTTAGTGAGAACAAGTGTAATCCATTGAAAATATCAAGTAGCAAACTGGTAAAGGTGTTGGCCTGTAGTCTTGATGCTTTCCTCACTCTTAACTGCCAAAATTAGTTAATGGTTTGCAGATTCTGGTCTCTAGGATAATTTGTTTTTTATGCTGTGTATGTTTGGCATGAGACTCAAGTCTCAAGAGTTGTGAGGTGATGTACTATATAGCTTACCTAACTGCTTCATTCTTTTCCCTCACATGTGCTTTCCTTTTCCTCCCATTTATTTATTTTTTTAATCTCACTTCTTTCTTATATGGAGACATTATGGGTAACCCTTTAACCTAAAGATAAGTAGAAACTTTTTCTTTTCCCTTTCTCCTTTGATACTTGGGAATAAAGCTCTTAAGAGTTGTAGGAGAGAGGTGCTGGACTATCATTTTATGTTGGACTAAGTTCAGAATTTGCTATTAACTGAAACCTTGGGTAATTTCTTCACCTGTAGCCCATTTTCTCATTTGCAGTAAAACTTCCTTAGAGTCCTTGGAAGGATTGCCAGGATAATAAATGTAAAACACTCAGTGATTGTTAGTTCTTTTCACCTTCCCTTTCTCCTTGTTAATAAACTGCTAAAGCCTCAAGTAGGAATTGAGAGTTGATTATAGCAGATGTGTAATTCTGTGATGGCTGCCAGGTGCTGAAGAAAAGCACCCTACGTCCCAGAAACACTGGTCTAGGTGGGACCTCCTAGTAAACAGTGCTAGAGTAGGGAAACCAGCTCATCCACTCCTTAGAACCCAGGTATGCCCTTGATCCGGTTAATTTCATCTACTAGTTCACAAAATAGTTTTAGGCTGAGGCATTATCATTAAGTAATGTAATTGGAAGATAGAAACTAACTCTTGAAACAACTTAACACCTGACATTTATATAAGGTGCGTTGTCTCAGCTGCTCCTCGCTTCGGCTCCGGGTGAGGCTGGGCTGGCGGTGCCGGCACCTTGGAGACAGAACGTGGCCGGCCTCGCTGCCGTCCTTGGCTAGTGGCAGAGCCGGGACGGGGTGTGTCTTCTCAGTCCAGTTGTGTCCTGCAAAGCTCTGCTTCTGCCCTGTTCCGGGCAGAAAGCCTCCCCCATGCTTTTAGTCCTAGGAATCTGATCTTCTCTTTCTTAACGTTTCCACCTTCTCCAAATTAGGGCCGGGTGGTTCGCTTTACAAGCCATGGAGATGGGAGAAGCTAATGTCTCCAGATCCTGCTTTCCAAGTTGGATCCCTGGGTAGAGCCCCGCTACCCTTCCTAAAGTTGTGGGGGCAAAAGGCGACGATTTTATGGCAAACTGACAGTTTTTCTTTGCAGCGGGAATGTTGTCATTGTATGCTTGATAGTAGTGGTAGTTTGGTCTTTTATTAGCAAAGAAGATTACAGGGTGGAGACTGCCCGAGTGGTGACTACAGTTTCAAACAGTTCAGACCGACCTGGGAGAAGCTCTCGAGCTCAGAGTCCTCTTAGTATGGGAGGTTCGTAGGTCATTGATATAGTGGGTACGTGCAAGTGCTTAAAATTAAGTAAGAAAAATGAAAGGGAAGAACATTTTTTTAAAACAAGACTTTTGAGTGGCCTGTTGGAATGTAGGGAATTGAGAAAGCGACAGCGGTCTTTGAACTTAGAGGAAGAGCAGGAGTCGGTAAGTGGCTGAGGGAGCCCAGAGCGCAGGCTGAGGACCACATTCCTGGGCTTAGGGCCTGGATCCACTGGGAGGAGTCTCAGTGACGGAGAATTAGTTAAGGAATCTGAAAGGTGAAAGTTGCTCAGCCTGTCCGACTCTTTGTGACCCCAAGGACTATACAGTCCGTGGGATTCCCCAGGCCAGAATACTGGAGTGGGTAGCCTTTCCCTTCTCCAGCGGATCTTCCCCACCCAGGGATTGAACCCAGGCCTCCCACATTGCAGGCAGATTCTTGCCCAGCTGAGCCACGGGGGAAGCCCACGGAGTTGGGTGCCTGTTTGCCAGCTCCTCTGGATGCTCTTGCTTGCTGAGTGCTGCCTGAACCTTGAAGCAGACAGGCCCCAGCGTCTTGGTAGGGCCCTGGGGAGCGTGGGAAAGGGAACTGAAGCAGAAGGCAAGCCTGGCTAGTCCCCACACGCCTTCCCCAGCACGGCTGTCGCACTGGTTTCCCAATGTCTCTGTGGGCATGCTGGGACTGGGCTCTGACGTTTCTGCCTCAGGGGTGGGGAGGAGGGGGAAGGGTGTTCCAACGGCAGTTTTTTCTTTCTTCCCAGTTTGGTTGCTGGGAACAGGGGGTAAATGAGTTTCTATCCATATTAGAACCTGCTCCTAGTGTTCTACACAAGTACAGGTAGAGAAACTCTGACATGGCCACAGAATCCAGGTTTTACTGAAAACTACGTTCAGGGTCCGCGTATTTGAAAACAGCAAAGTCCAAAGGGCATCTGTAACATTTAGCAATTCCAGGTCATGTTTTAAATTACCCCCATTCCTAGATTGTTTTTCCCCCCATATCTGCCCTTTCTCCCCCCCCCCTTTTTTTTAAATATATTAGATATATTTTATTTTCCTCTCACTCCTGTTTTTCCTCCAAATATTCCTACAGCTCTCTCCTTCCTGCTTCCTCCTTGCTGTGGTGGCTGGGATGCTTCTCCCATGATACTTTGGATCTAGCCTGGGCTGTTTTCTGTTAAACCAATCAGTTGCGACCTTCTCTTAACAGGTGTGTATAAAATATGTTTATTAACAATAAAAAAATTTTAAGTGCTTTTTTTCTGGAGGGGTTGATGAAAGGGTGGGAAATAGAGGAGAGGGTTTATTTTGAAACCCACCTTTCAACATGGTACATCTGGGACTACCCAGAAAGTCTCCCACTGCCAACTTGCGAGAGAGAAAGCCTGCTCAGCACAACAGCCTAACTGTGGTGCCCCTCCACTTTCTGGCCAACCCGGCAGTTCACGTCCTAGGGTACGGGCACTCTTCAGTTCTGAATAACTTGTTTGTGGTGGTAGTCACACACAAATCCTCTGTAGGTGCTTGGATGCTTACCTTCAGTTGGAATAAGTAAAGAGGTAAAAATGGAGCCTATTTTAGAGCTTTCTTCAGGATGACAGGGATGTAGGAAGTTCCAGCTGTCGGCTGAAGGTTAGCCTGTGAACTGCTTGAAGGGTTCCCTTTATTATAGGTTCAAATGATGGCTCCTTCTCCTGCTCCACAGAGAGAGCTGGGGGGGGTCACAGGAAACGGTGCCTTTTTACAGTCTTTTATTCCGCTGCTTTCTTGTCCATTAGCCAAGGCACACATTCTGCCCTCAATATTGTAGTATAGTTTTGAAAAGTAGAAAAACCCCTTATATATGTATTCAATTTGAGGGCCTTAGTTTTATTTCCTGCCTTTGATGGTGGGAATGTTTTTTTTACTTCTTCCATTTCTTACTGGTATTTTAACTTAGCATGTTCGTTTAGTGTGTTTTGCCACCACTGCCGCAGTTTCAGTGTTGGGATTTGGGAGGCGTGAAATAAGATCTGCCCTGCCCCTCTGTCTGCAGAGGTGGCTTGCCCCGCAGGACCCTGCATGCTTGTCTGTGGTGCGGAGTTGCAGCTCCACTGAGGAAAAGAGCCTGATTTTAACCTCGTCTATGGCTGCGGTCCTGAGCCCCGTCCTCTCTCCCTGACAGTGTAGGGCAGGGGTCTGGTTGCGCCTCCGCTTTCAGTGGCTGTTCCAGGTGGGCCGTTACAGAGGGTCGTGGGCAGAGCACCCTGCTTGTGCAGGCGCCGGTGGCGGGCCCAGGCTTGGTGGCGGCTCTCTTTCTGCGCTGCAGGCGGACCGCGAGGGGCCTCTCTGGCTCCGGGTGAGTCGTGCGCTGCCTCTCTGACCTGTGCCCTTGTCTCCTCTCTCGCCTCCCCGGTAGTGTGCAGTGGGGGGCCTCCTCCCTCCTCCCCTCCCTCAGTGGGCCACCTTCTCTTGCCCTGCCCTCACCTCCATGGACGACTCGGAGGTGGAGTCGCCCGCCAGCATCCTGGCCTCCGTGAAGGAGCAGGAGGCGCAGTTTGAGAAGCTGACCCGGGCGCTGGAGGAGGAGCGGCGCCACGTCTCGGCGCAGCTGGAGCGCGTCCGCGTCTCCCCGCAGGACGCCAGCCCGCTCCTGGCCAACGGCACGCTCACCCGCCGGCACCAGGTAACCCTCCGTCGGCCGGGCCTGCCGCGGACGCGGGCCCCTTGGGGAGGCTGCTCTCCGCACGGCCATGGGCGTCCCGTGCCCGTGCCCCGTGATGGCCTCCGCAGGGCGCTCGGTCCTGGTTCAGACAGAGGACGTCGCTGCTTGCCGCGTTGCCTGGACTTCTCTCGAAGCATCCATCTAACTTCCTGTCCCCTGCAGTGGGGTTTCTGGGTCGGGATGCCCGTCTGGTAGTGGCAGATCATATAATTTGAAGCTGTACTCAAGTTACTTTTTTTTTTTTTTCCTGGTTTCCCCCTTCCTCCCTATCAAAAATTCAGGAAATTAAATGCCTGCTTAGTGGTTGGGGAAATTGGACATCTTGCATCTCATTCTCCCTCAGAGAACAGTTTGCTCAGAGGCGTGGCAGTGTCAGTAAATTGTGTATTCCCACTCCACACTCTTTTTGTTGGCTGTGCCATTCATTTTTTGGAGAAGGGGGGTCATTGTTGATTCTCTTGGTTAGACTTGGAGAGGGAGCATCATGCTGCTGTTGAAGCCAGATGGCCGCAGGAGCCAGTGGTCTCTGGGCTGGCTGACTGGGCTGTGACTCTGGAGTGAGCTGGCATTTGACAGAAGTATCCTCTGCTTCCTGTGGCTTCTGTTGTCTGGCTTTGCTGGGGTGTGATCTGTCTGAGGCTTGTCTGTGTGTGTGTGTAGTGGGCATTGCCTGATAGACTTCATCTTAAGAGATCCTGACGGGAACCGAGACCAGTGCTCATGCTCATGATCAGTTATTAATTTTTGAAATGGAGAAGGTCCCTCAGGCTAAAGGGGTTGTTGAGTGAGAGGATATAATTTCAACTGGGGATGACCAGGAATTTGGAAGCCATGTGTTTGCAGTGCTTCTAGGATTTTTACAGGAGCAAGAGTAGAGGGTTAGGGTTGGAGGAGAATGCACTGCAGAGGAGAGCAGCACCGTTCAGCCTTGGAGGCGGGGAGTTCCAGGAGTCAGTGCATGGAGTCTCTCTCTTATTTTTAACTTCTGCTCAGCAGTGTAACCACACCCTTCCTTCTTCCTGAAAATAATGTTTAACTTCCTTTCCCTACAGCATTACGCGTCCTACCTAATGGGAGTAGGGCAGGGGAAGAGTCTCTCAAGGTGGCTGAATCTCACTGTATACTTTTTGAAGGGGAGTAGTCAAATGTGTTTTTACGTAGTATAAGGTCATTAGATTACTTTCTGCTGCTTCAGATGGAGCAACTTAAGGAATGCCTTTTTTGAATGTGTTCTGTGAATCTTATAATTGGTGATGAAAGTATTGAGACATTTGTTTACTTGAAGAGGGTTGAGATGCTTATTTTCTTCCTGCTTGGAAAGAGAAGCTCATACCTCTTGCTTCCTTCTTTATAAAGCTGCCTGGTGTGGGAGTTTCCCGTGGTTGTAGAGCGTGAACATGCATGAAACAGTGAAGGCTTTTGGAAACCCCCCACCCTAGCTTTTCCAACTTTCCTATGTTTTTATGGCTTTCCAAAAAGATTTCACGGGGAACTTACCTTATTCAGAAAAGATTTTTGAGTACCTACTATGTACAGACACTGTTGAGGGCACTGGGGAGGCACTGAACAAAACTGACCAAAGTGCACAAACCCCTCTGCCCTGATAGCACTTACATTCTTATGTTCCAGAGACCCAGGCCGCCCCGAGTTCCAGGCCCAGTTCCGGGTCTGAGGTGCCGAGTCTAAGGCGTGATGTGGTTATTTTATCTATACTGACAGACGACTCCAGGCCACAAATGCCTTCTTGAAAGCCCTTTTCCTGTTTGGAAAAAAGATCATTTGTGTTTGATAGAGCAAAAGAAGGCCGCAAAGTGAATTGTCTTCTTGTGGGCTCTGTTTCAGAACGGCCGCTTTGTGGGCGATGCTGACCTTGAGCGACAGAAATTTTCAGATCTAAACCTCAACGGACCCCAGGTACCTCTTTTGGTTCAAGGTCTGGGTTGCTTGTTCATATCCTTTTTACTCTCCCAGCTTGAGAGCATATTGGTGTCTTCTGTACCTGGCACGTTGTAAACTCTCGTTAATTAGTTTCTTTTCATTTAGTGGAAAAAAATGAAAAAAAGTGGAGCTTCAAAGTATATATATGGTTTTATTTTGGACTTAATTATATTGGTCATTGATTTAGTGTTCAATCCCTCAATTACTGCATCCCTTTTCTAGAGTGGGCGTGGTTCTACTTTGCAGAAATCCCTACCTAAAATATAGCTGGTCTTGAGCCTTAGGCATATCTGAAAAATAGCATTGAGCTGTTCAGAAGATCACTCTTACTGAGGTTTTCTGTTTCATCTTAAAGGTTCTTATTGGGTGAACTTTGTTTTCTTTGAAGGATCACTCAGATACAGATAGAGCTGCTTTTCACACAGTTCATGTTCACTTAGATGACCAGAACTGGGAAGTTATATCTGCTGTCTCTGCCACTGGGAGGGTGTTGATGTAGCTATAGTTAACTCAGTTCCTGTTTGTTAAGTGAATGAGACTGGGAACTTCTGCCCTTTTGTACAAGTTGGGAACGTGGGAACAGTCACTCCTAAAAATTCTGGGCCCACAGAAGATGCGTCGTCTTGAAGGAGACGGTGCTGCTGGTTGGGATGGAGCATTAGTGTACATGGCTCATGAGTGGCTCTTTCCTTTTTCTCTGTTCTGTGTAGGATCACAGCCATCTTCTGTACAGCACTATCCCCAGGATGCAGGAGCCGGGGCAGATTGTAGAGACCTACACGGAAGAGGACCCTGAGGGCGCCATGTCTGTTGTCTCCGTGGAGACCTCGGATGATGGAACCACTCGGCGCACGGAGACCACAGTAAGCTGGGACTTATGTAAGGTCTGGGTGAGGGCGGAGGTCGTCCTCTGGCCTTTATTAAGGGGAAGGGCTGGGCAGTTCACTAGCGTGGAGGAAGGGCCGTGATCTGTAGTGAAGGCGTAAAGAAGGCGTAAAGTGCTCCCCGGCTAGACAGGGAAGAGAGAAGAGATATGAGAAAACCTAATGGAATGAGGAAGAGTCTCAGCAGCTTTCCTTGAGGCGCAGTGACTGCCAGTGCAGTTTTCCTGCCTGTGGACTTCCCGGAAGATCGAAGGGGAGACGGTGAGATTGCTCGGCATTTCTAGGGAAAGCAAGCTGGGGACAGAGGGTTATTTCTTAGAGGGCTCTAGAGTTTAAGCTTAATTTGTTCACGTCATTAACGTTCCTTTTCTTTTCTTTGCTCGAAGGTCAAGAAAGTGGTGAAGACCGTGACGACGCGGACGGTGCAGCCAGTCCCTATGGGGCCCGATGGGCTGCCTGTAGATGCCTCGTCGCTGTCGAACAGCTACATCCAGACTCTGGGCCGTGACTTCCGCAAGAACGGCAACGGGGGTCCTGGTCCCTACGTGGGGCAAGCAGGCACGGCCACCCTCCCCAGGAACTTCCACTACCCGCCCGACGGATACAGCCGCCACTATGAGGACGGGTATCCCGGGAGCGGCGACAACTACGGCAGCCTGTCGCGGGTGACCCGCATCGAGGAGCGGTACAGGCCCAGCATGGAAGGCTACCGGGTGCCCAGCCGGCAGGACGTCTACGGGCCGCAGCCCCAGGTCCGGGTGGGCGGGAGCAGCGTGGATCTGCACCGCTTTCATCCGGAGCCCTACGGGCTGGAGGACGACCAGCGGAGCATGGGCTACGACGACGTGGACTACGGCATGGCGTCTGACTACGGCGCGGGCCGGCGGGCGGGCACGCCCTCTGACCCGCGGCGGCGCCTCAGGTGGGCGAGGAGGAGGGACGCAGGGGGCCTCTCAGACAGCGGCAGGGGCAGCTCTTCCTCTTGGGGAGCAGAGGCAGCTGGGGGCCCCCCTCCCCCGCGCCTGATTTTGTAGGAGACCATCCTAATCGTCTCTCTTCTGATTTTACTAAATACTGAATTGGTTTTTTTGGTCTCCTTTTCATTGTAAATATCATGTATTCTAATTATAGAAAACAACCTGTGACAGTTAATTGGTCTGTGTCCTGAGGAGTGGCCTTTGGTTCTATGTCAAGAGTTTCTTTATTTTCTGCCTAAGATTTGACACCCCGTTTGGAACCTGATATATGAAGCTATAGAATGTTTGTTCTTGTGAATTTCTTCAACTTCTTGTTTGGTGTTAAGAACAAGCTTAAGGATTTTAGGCTTTCAGGGGCCGAATAGACAGTTGAAAGTGAAAGTGTTAGTGGCTCAGTCGTGTCCCACGACCCCATAGACTGTAGCCCTCCAGACTCCTCTGTCCATGGGATTCTCCAGGCAGGAATACTGGAGTGGGTTGCCATTCCCTTCTCCAAGGGGTCTTCCCCGCGCAGGGCTGGAAACAGGTCTCCTGCACTGCAGGCAGATTCTGTACGGTCTGAACCACCTGCAGGTACATATATGTAAGAGCCCTCCCTATGGTGGTTTAAATCTGAAGTTAAAAACCTTGATCTCACAAAAGCCCTGATCCCTGGGGCTTGGCTTCTTTCTTCTGACATTTCATTGTGGCGTGAGATGGGCTGGCTTCGCTAGTGGGGGGCACTTTACTGACACCCTGAAAAGCTCACTAGTTCTGCCTGTACTAGTCATACCTGGGGATTCTTTGGTGACGTGCAGAAGGCCGTAACTGACATCTGGATGGGTAGATGGTTTACACTGAGAAAATGCTTTAGAGTGGGAGCTGCCAGACCTTTTCTGAAAAAGGGAAGGTTAGTCGCTCAGTCATGTCCGACTCTTTGCAACCCCATGGACTGTAGCCCGCCAGGCTCCTCTGTCCATGGGGGTTCTCCAGGCAAGAATACTGGAGTGGGTTGCCATTTGCTTCTCCAGGGGATCTTCCTGACCCAGGGATTGAACCCGGGTCTCCTGCATTGTAGGCAGAATCTTTACCATTTGAGCTATCAGGGAAGCCGTAAACCTTTTCCATAAAGGACCATAGAACTAATTTAGGCTTTGCAAATAATATATTGTTTTTGTTGTATGTCATTGTTTGTTTTACAACCTTTTAAAAAACCTTTTAAATCAACCATATGAAATGATATGGTTAGATACCATGACCAACTCAATGGGCATGACTTTGCGCAAACTCTAGGAAATAGTGGAGGACAGGAGAGCCTGGCATGCTGCAGTCCTCGGGGTCGACAAGAGTCCGTCATGACTTACTGACTGAAAAAACCACGAAAAAATATGAAACCCGTTCTTAGTTTTGGGGTTGATGGGGCCCATGGGCTGCCAACCTTGTTTTAGAATAAATCAGAGACAGTGTTTTCTGAGCAAAGAGAAAGAAGAAGAATTAAAGGAAAAGATTTACGGATGTCTTAATGGTAAGAATATCTTACCAGCTGTTGCTGAATTTCTCTGTGAGGTCATGACTTTCTAAAGCAGATTCCTTGGTGCTCGTATTACTCTTATTAGGCAGCTTTGCTTAACAGCAGACTGGGCTGGGCCCAGGCTAGAGGCCCCATTATCTAAGGCTGAGTCACTCACCTTTCAGGTATCTTTCGAGCAGCAAATCCAACTCCCATGTGACTCATGTTTTACTCCTGGGGTGTGTGTGGCAGGCCTTCGCTGTGTGCAGCATGAGCAGCAGCTGATGGCAGCCGTCCCCACAGGAGTCGGCGCGGCTGGTGGCTCCTTCTCTTGGTGACAAGTGTGCTTTTCCTGACTTCCTCGTCAGTGCACTGACTGGGTCTCAGTGAGTGGGGTGGCCAGGTCATTCTCTGTGGTCCCTGGTTGGGGCAGTTGACATAAAGAAAGAGGGTTTGGGCTTGGTTCTCGGGTTTATTCCAGGGTGGCACTGGACTTGGAAACCTGCTCGACTAGCCGAGAACGTTTGCTGCTTCCTGTTCTTGGCCTTGCGAGGTCAAGTGAATGCAGGAATGCAGAAAGATGAGTGGAGAAAGCGCTGAACCTGAGACAGCGGCTCTAGCTGTGCCTTTGCCATTAGCTGTGTAGCCCTAGGCAAGTCATTTAATCCTTTTGGGCACAGCTTTGTTATTTGTAAGACAAAGGAAAGAATGTCATGACCTACTTGTAAAAGTGACCAAAATCGTTGTGGTGATTGTTTTGCAATTGCTTTATATTAAAATAATAATAAAAGTAAAAACATCTTCAGCACAAAACCAGAAGAGCACACCATCCATTGATAAGGAACTTCCCTTAACATTCTTATGCTTTTCTTTTGTGTTCTTTTCCTTACACACGTCCTTATTTTTCCCTCCTGAAATGGAATCTTACTTGATTTGCTGTTTAGTAGCCTACTCTTAACACTTAGCTATATAACCTGTGTATTTTGTTTCAGTGATACTAAAAAATAGTGATTTTTTTTTTTTTTAAACTGACTGCTTTGTCCATTTGAATTGTGTTTGAGTGGTTAATGTTGACAGCTCTGAGGCAGGCCCTCTGCTCAAGCTAACCTTGAAGGTTTGGTAACAGTGGGAGTGGTTTTGTGGAGTAAACAAGAGGCTTATTTGGAGTGTTCCACACAATGGACTCTCCCCTCTCCTGTGGGAGCCTCTCAGTGAGACGAGCTTGCAGATAATGGGTCTCTTCCTTCCTGGCTGTTACGAATGAATAATAGTGTGACAGACTCACCCCCTAGTGGTGGTCGGTAGTACGGAGTAGGAAGCTTATCTCGGGTTAGGTATTTTTCTTTACCTTCAGTTGCTCTGTCTCTATTTCTTTTCTCAGTGGTTCGGTATCCCAAATGTGATGGTGGCCAGGAGTGTCGATTTTGAAAGAACTAGAAGTGTTGGCTTTAGAAATTGGAGACTAGAAATCCTGTTTCAAACCCATGAGTTGAGTAGGAAAGATGGCCTTGGGATGAACTGTGCAAACTCCTGTTCAAGCTTGTAGCTCGTCAGTACCAAAGCTAAGTCCTACGTGAGGTAGCATGGCGTCCTCTGCTGCTGTTACTCTCAAAAAAAGAGACTCTAAGAAGCTCACTTTCTCTCTGTTTAAAAAATATTTTCCACAATAGGGTAAGGAGAGGCTTAAAGGTGAAATGTGTTTAAGAGTCTTATCCCGTCAGCTGTTTCCTGTGTGTAAATGCCTCACGAGAGCTGGTCTCAAACGTTGTTCGCTGATTTCTCTGCTGCCAAGTTCATTGGTTTCATTAACTCTGCTGTCTGAAGGTTTATTTCAGTGTTTATCTGGAGAACTTATTAGGTATCAGGTATCATTCAAGCACTAAGCAGTCAGGATTTGGATCTTTTTAGTGATCAACTGTCCAAATGTTTGTTGTTCCTCCAAGCTAGTAAACGTCAGAGAAAATAAACGATAGCTTTATTGTAATTGCAGATGCCTTAAACAATTCTTATCTCATTAACAAAAATTGATCAGTATATTCTTTATGTAAAGGAGAGATGAGATCTAGTATGCTAGAGCTGGGGTTCTTCCTTTCTTGAAGATGAGGGGTAATGGGAGCTCTCCAAAGAACCAGACATGACAGCTTGGTGTGTTCCTTTCTCTCTCTCGGTCCTTCCAACCCCGCAGGAGCTATGAAGACATGATCGGTGAGGAGGTGCCCTCAGACCAGTACTACTGGGCTCCTCTGGCCCAGCACGAACGGGGGAGTCTGGCCAGCCTGGACAGCCTGCGCAAGGGCGGGCCCCCGCCCCCCAGCTGGAGGCAGCCGGAGCTGCCGGAGGTGATTGCCATGCTGGGCTACCGCCTGGACGCGGTCAAGTCCAACGCAGCGGCCTACCTGCAGCACTTGTGCTTCCGCAACGACAAGGTGAAGACCGACGTCCGGAGGCTCAAGGGCATCCCCGTGCTGGTGGGGCTCTTAGGCCACCCCAAAAAGGAAGTGCACCTCGGAGCCTGCGGCGCGCTCAAGAATCTCTCTTTTGGGCGCGACCAGGATAACAAGATTGCTATAAAAAACTGTGATGGTGTCCCTGCTCTCGTGCGCTTGCTCCGAAAGGCTCGTGACATGGACCTCACTGAAGTCATTACTGGTGAGTTCCAGGCCCGAGGGGAGCCTCTTGGTTTAGGGTCAGAGATTGTGCAAGCTTTTCCAGATTTCAAACACTGGAGTGGGTTGCCATTCCTTTCTCCAGGGGATCTTCCTGACCCAGGGATTGAACTTGGGTCTCCTGTACTGCAGGCAGATTCTTTACCGTCTGAGCCGTCAGGGAAGTCTGATTTTAAAGCATTGTTTGCTAATGTTTTAAACGCAGAAGATTTCGCTTAAAATTCCAGATGCTTGGCTTCTGTCTTAAATGTACAGGAACTGCTAATAACGGACCTGTTTTACTACCCAGTAGTTGGTCTGAGGTGATTGGGGCATGTTCCATTAGTGTGTGTTGAACACAACTTTGTGGATCACAGTCAGCATCCCAAGAGAAAGGAAAAGAAATAGCACAGATCATTAGTTCTCAGTCGGGGGTGATCTTGCCCCCAGAGGACGTTTGCAATGTCTGCAGGTATTCGGTTGTCATAACTTGGGGAGGTAGGTGGTGGGAGGGAGTGCTATTGGTATCTAATGACTGAAGGCCTGAGATATACTCATTTAATGATGGGTGGGATAGCTCTCCACAACGAAAATTACCTGGCCCAAAATGTCAGTGGTGGTGAGATTAAGAAATGGGTGTAGTGAGCCCAGAAAGTATTGCTTATAATAATTATTGTTTTATGAAGCCTTACTTCATGATGTGTGTGTTTGTTTTGAGCCATAATGTAAAATATATTATCAAGAGTAGCAGACTAAAGCTTGAATATCATTACAAGGTATTTGGTCATTGGGGAAGACTGAGAAATGTTGGGAAAGGGGTTTCTCTTTGGCATTCTTCATACATAACTGTCATGGTGCTGGAGAACTGTCTGATGAGTGGTCTCTGCCAGGAACCCTGTGGAATCTCTCATCCCATGACTCCATAAAAATGGAGATTGTGGACCACGCGCTGCATGCCTTGACGGATGAAGTGATCATTCCGCATTCAGGCTGGGAGCGGGAACCTGGCGAAGACTGTAAGCCACGCCACATTGAGTGGGAGTCTGTGCTCACGAACACAGCCGGCTGCCTCAGGTACCAGGAGGGCTGGGAGCGCGTGAAGACTGAGCTCTTAAAGACTAACTTAAGTTGCTTTCAAAGCATGTTTAAGTCCCTTAGTCTGTCATCCAGGCTCCATTCCTGTTTGTATTGCGTACCATGACCCCATCCTGTGTTTCTGCCTGTCGCTACCCCCTTGCATACCATATATGCCTTGTATGGTTTACTTGCGGTTCCCACACATCTTCCTCACTTCTGTGCCTCTTTGACTTTGTTAATATAATTTGTTCAAAACCAACAGTGTAAGGCCGTTGTCTAGTCCTGGGCTTGTGTGTGTCTGTGTCTTTAATTATTTGTATTTCAAGTTGGCCTGCGATAAATGCAGCAAATGGATACAGCATACTGGAAGGAGAGCGTGGGGAAGAGTCCTTCCCCTGTCTGCAGGGCCGATCTGCTTATTTATCTTTTGAGGCCTGACTCAGGTGTTTTATTCCATGAAAGTTCTCCTGAGTTCTTTCTCTTGTATCCTATAAATGTGCAGTACATCCTTTCTCTCTTTGGAATATACTCCTGTGTGCCCTGCCCCCATTCTCCATTTGTACTTTCACGTGAGCAGTATCTGTTCTGTCTTAGATTATTGTTGTTAGTATACTTTATGCACCCCCTTCCCTGGCCTGCTTATGTGTTCTGAAAGCAGGAACTTCAACTTTCTTTCAGCTCTGGTGCCTCCCCTTTAATAGATGCTCTTTATTTGTTACAGTGGAAAGGTCGTAAGGAGCCTTGTAGAGACTAGGGGTACTAAGAGAGGGTTTCTGGAGTTCAGTCATCTTGAAGCTTCCCCTTTTCCCCTCAGGAATGTCAGCTCGGAGAGGAGTGAAGCACGCCGGAAACTTCGGGAGTGTGATGGGTTGGTGGATGCTCTCATTTTCATTGTCCAGGCTGAGATTGGACAGAAAGATTCGGATAGCAAGGTAGGTTAGTGGGTAGGCACCCATAAGACAGACTTTCAAATAGCGTTAGATACCTGAACTGGCCTCCCCCTCCTTAAAGTGGGTGTTCGCCTTGGAAGAAAACCGTTTCCTTTAGAATTTCCTTTGCCTACATATTTTAAGGCTGTTTAGCCATACTTCCATTTTTTTCTAATTAGGAAAAAGTCAGTGTGCCGTTGAGTTTTATGTCGCACAGCAAAGGGTAGCAGAAACCTTTATTAGCCTGAGGCTGAAAGAATTCTGAGAAGCTTGGGGGCACTGAAGAGGCATGATGAGAGATAATGAGTTGAGCTATGCTTTTGAGGATCACTGTTTCTATATCTGAATCATGGAAACATGTACGTGCTAGAAAATCACTTGTCATTCTCTTTTCTCACTGGACCTTTTATTTTGTGATCCCAAGCTTGTGGAGAACTGTGTTTGCCTCCTTCGGAACCTGTCGTATCAAGTTCACCGGGAGATCCCACAAGCAGAGCGTTACCAGGAGGCACCTCCCAACGTCGCCAACAATACTGGGCCGCACGCTGCCAGCTGCTTTGGGGCCAAAAAAGGCAAAGGTGAGGCTTGCTTCCCTGTCCCCTGCTCGCTCGTGCGGGACGGGGAGAGGAAGGCACTTAGGCACTCCCAGCTGTGCGTGTGGGACGCTTGCTGAGCAGTGCTGGGGGCCTGCCCAGTCAGGGGGGTCTCTGCTGCGCCCGCTGCGCTGTGAGCGTCACGCCGCTGCTGCTGCTGGTGGGGTGGTGGGGGCGTCGGCATCAGTAGCTGGGCAGTGAAGGCCGAGAGTCCAGCTGGTCTGGGGGCTTCTCCCCCACTCCTCCTCTGTTTCCTGGGTTTGTCTTCTCCTCTGCGCTTCCCTGCTTATTTTCCCATGATCCTGTTGACATCTCTCTCCTGCGTTTTTCTTCCTTCATTTCTCTCCTCTCCTTTCCACCTTGGGTGACGCACTGGAAGATGAGTGGTTCTCCAGAGGTGAGTGGAATCTTTTAAGGTGCTTACCTACCTCTAATTTGCATGTTTGGGTTTTAGCTTCCCTGACATTTCCTTGCCTAACCCTTCCCTGTGGATGCATGTAGGAAAATTCATTTGAGGAAGGCCACTGAAATGGGTCGCGCTCTGCTGAGCGAATGGCTCACAGCATGCTATTTCTGGGCAGCAGCCCCTGTTACCAGAACTGAGGACAGTAGCAGCAATAGCGGTCCTCCTTATCTCACCCAGCTGCTGCCCGTGTTCTGTTCTCGTTTCTGGGACAAGCTGGGGATCCTGTCTTTTTTCCTTTGTTTGTTGTTTTGTCTTATGCCCCTCTTGATGCATCTCTGATGGAAGATTCTGACCGAAGAATAAAGAATGTACTGAGTGGACTCTTCCCTTTCTTAAACTTTTTATCCTTTCTCCCCCCACTTTCTTTTTTAAATTTCCAAAGGGAAAAAACCCACAGAGGAGCCAACAAATGATACAGTGGATTTCCCTAAAAGAACTAGTCCTGCTCGAGGTAAGTTATCTTTTTCTTCTCAGCCTCCATGGTTCTCATAAACATCGTCCACAGATAAGTGTTTGGCAGCCTACCAGTAGGTTATACACTGTGTTCACTGTTCTGTCCCCCTGACTTAAGGAATTTGAAGTGATGATTAAAGTATTTGGAAATTTTTAATACTATAACAGTGACTTTCAAAGGACTTCTTGTTATGGCAGTTATTCAGATTACTTGAGGGTAAGGACCTGATGGTAGTCTAGACCAGGAACTTTTTATGTTTATCGATATAGTGAGTCCAAAATTCGCAGCTCTCCATGGATATTAAAATTTAGATGTTGTTAAGTTTGTGAGAGACCCTTTGACTTAGTCATAGTTAAGGTGAGCAGAATGACTCAGTTAAGTTAGAAATAATTCATTTGAAATGAGGAATCTTTAACTCTTAAATACTATCGATGAGGAAATGAATCCCTTGAGGGCTGGGCAAGGCCAAAGTAAACTGTGGCTAGGGAAGAGACTAGGAAGGAGAGAGGAATTGCGTATGAGTTGATACCTGTTCTGCTTTTGCCATGGATGAATTATTCTTGAGAAGGCATGTAGTCAAATCTGAGTTTGCTCTTGGGTGGGTGCGGGTGTTTAGAGAGCCTGCTGGTATAGGAGCAGAAATTCATCAACCCAGAGTCGATCCTAACGCTGCACTGTAGCCAGCCAGAGCCTGCTTTGTAGGCACTGCTAAGCACCGTCTACTTTCTTGCCCTTTCTTGTGCAGGCTATGAGCTGTTATTCCAGCCAGAGGTGGTTCGGATATACATATCACTTCTCAAAGAGAGCAAGAATCCTGCCATCCTAGAAGCGTCAGCCGGGGCCATCCAGAACTTGTGTGCTGGGCGCTGGACGGTGAGAACCTTATACAAAGCTGTTTCAGGGATGGAAGGACTCAGCTTGCTCGTCTGCTGTCGTTTGTAATCTGTTTTGCTTCTTCCCACATGCTGCTTGTAGTATGGTCGATACATCCGCTCAGCTCTGCGTCAAGAGAAAGCTCTTTCCGCCATTGCTGACCTCTTGACCAATGAACATGAGAGGGTTGTGAGAGCTGCATCTGGAGCCCTGAGAAACCTGGCTGTAGATGCTCGCAACAAAGAATTAATCGGTAAGGAGCTGGCTGTTCCCCGTCACACAGCATCCGGCAGAGCGCCTTTCATCCAGCAGGCACTCAGTCTGTTTGTTGAAGCAGCTGAGGGAGAGCCCTGGCCCTCCACAGTTTGTGAATCCGGGGCCTTAGAGAGAGGGTCATGTTTAATGGTTCTTGGAAAGAGCAGAGGTGATGACTCTTCAAAAGTGGAAACACAATATCTTATTTGTTGAGCATTGTACTTTGTTACTAGGGATTGTTAAGCATTTCTGTATGTTCTCATTTAAATGTCACCATTTTACAAAGGTACTTTTTCTTGTTTTTTTTTTTTAAATCGAACAAGAAAACTGAGAGTCGGGACGTTAAGTAATTTCTCCAGAGTTAATAAAACAGAGCCCAGTTTTTGTTTTTGTAAAATTCACAATGACTGTCCTATTAAACGGTAGTAATCAGTATACCATTTTCATTAAGATATCTGACTGGACTCTGTAGCATATTTGACATAAGGTATCCAGATTGTCAGCGTGGCTGAAGGAGAGAATAAGCAGACAGACCGGAAGGACAGAGCGCGAGTGGCTGTCCCGGCCCTTGGCCCCCTGCAGTGACCGTCCTGCAGGAGCCTGGAGCTGGTTCTCACGGCGGGCCCTGCGCTTGACGCGATCAGCGTGGTGCGCGTTGGGCTCCTCAGCCTCGCCTGGTGTACATGCCTCCCGTCTTGCGCCGCAGGTAAACATGCCATCCCCAACTTGGTCAGGAACCTGCCAGGAGGGCAGCAGAGCTCCTCCCAGAACTTCTCCGAGGACACGGTGGTCTCCCTTCTGAACACCGTCAACGAGGTTATCGCTGAGAACCTGGAGGCTGCGAAAAAGCTCCGGGAGACCCAGGGTATCGAGAAGCTGGTTTTGATCAACAAATCAGGGTGAGATTAATTGACACTTAACCATCCCAGCTGGGAGCATGTGAATACGGCGAGGGGGCTGGGGAGGGACTTTCCCCTGTTGATTTCCCCTTATTTACATGTAGAGAGTGAAGGAGGTACTGCTTTTTTTTCTGTCTTAATGATTATAAAACTCTTCCATCAGACAGTTTTTTTTTTACTATTTGAGTTAAGGTACAGCACTCGGTGAATACCTGATCTTGCCCATTTGGGGACTTATATTCTTATGTTACATTGTACTAGGAAGGACAGGTTCTCAGCTTCTTTCCTGGTCTTACATTCAAATTCCATCTGGTGTTATTTCCCTAAAAGGAACCGTTCAGAAAAAGAAGTTCGAGCAGCCGCGCTTGTATTACAGACAATCTGGGGATATAAGGAACTGCGGAAGCCACTGGAAAAAGAAGGATGGAAGAAATCAGACTTTCAGGTAGAGTGACTTGGGACCGAGGCTTTCGCCTTTCTCCCCTTGGTTTCAGGTAATGCTTCTGTCTTTGGTTCTTCTGTTTCACTGTCACACTGAGTCTAGTTTTGACCCACGTCTCTGTGTGTAAAGAAATCATTTGTTTTCTTTTCCCCCCAAATGGTGCCTGAAGTAGTCTTGGTCTTGCACTGTGTCGTAGCTCAGTGTAAATGCTGGTGGCAGTGTTGAACGGTGGCCTTTGGGCTCTTCTCCAAATCTGTCTCAGCCCTTGGAAGGAGTTTGCCGTTTTCTGAGACTGTTATTTCCTTTTGATAGTGTGAGTGTTTGGTACCTTTGTAATCGGTTCAGAAACACAAATCAAAGCCATAATATCTTACTTTGTTTCACTATATAGGTGTTTATTTAACCCTTGTGAGTTAGCTTTTGGTAAGAATTGTATTTGGGAATAAGTCCCTACAACTCCGAGCCCATTAAGGAATAGGATATGGGTGAATTCGGTCCTCTGTGATGTCACTGCATTTTACGTCTGCCTCCAGGTGAATCTGAACAATGCTTCTCGAAGCCAGAGCAGTCACTCCTATGATGACAGCACTCTCCCTCTCATTGACCGGAGCCAGAAGTCAGGTACAGGGTCTAGGGGATGCACCTCTGTTTTATTCCACCTTTGCTCTTCTCTCGTGGGCCTGCTGTCTAACTAAATAAGATACGTATTATTTTCTGAAGAAGCTTGTCTTTTGGTGGAGGAGAGTTATACTTCACTGCAGGACTATAGCACGGAACTTTAGAAACTAAGAGTGCGTCAAAAGATGAGAGAGTTAGCCTGGGCGTGACCCCCCCGCTTTGCCTGTGGACTTCAGATGACCGGAGAGTGAACCCTGCTGTTTTCTCTACTTACGTTATAAATTTAAGATGTGCAGCGTGATGATTTGGCACATGTATATAGAGAGTCCCCGATTTAACAATGGTTTGATCTGTGATTTTTCAACTTCGTGGTGGTGCAGAAGTGATGTGTGTTCAGTAGAAACCACACTTCAGGTTGAGTTCTGACCTCTTCCGTGGCCGGTGAGACACCGCGGGCCACTCTCACACGGGCAGCAGCGGCATCAGCCACAGAGCCCAGTCAGCCGTGCGGTCACGAGCGCGAGCGGAAACCGAAAGCCGAGAACCGCTCTGTGCCCAGACAGCTGTTCCGCCTTTCACTTTAAGTGCCATTTTCAGTGTATCATCTTGTGAGATAGTCTTTATAGCGCTTTATTGTCAGGTAGGCTCTGTTAGATGATTTTGCCCACCTGTAGACTGATGTAAGGATTGTGAACACGTGTAGGTTGGGCTAAACTATGACGTTCTGTCAGCCTAACGGTAGGTTTATCGGGATGTAACCCTATCATCAGTCCAAGGGAGATCTGAATATTGCAAAAGGATTATTCTTCCTCTTAAATTTTCATATAATACCAAGTAGTATATGTTTACTGTTGAAAAATTAGAAAATACAGGCAAACCAGGAAAGGGACAGTAACAAACACCACTCACTTCTGTCATCCAGAGATGACTCTGCTATTCCGGATTGTATCTTAAATACTGCCGTGTGCGCAAACTCGTTTTCTTCAAAAGACAAACCACATATTTTGTTTTGTAAAGTGATTTTCACTTGTGTCTTTTGTAATCCTTATTGTCTTAATGACAGTGGGATTTTGCGTGAGATGTGGTCTGAGGATCATCAAATCTGTTGACATGTGATGGCACAGAAGCATGGATGGCGCTTGCTTCACTGCTGGGGGCTGAGCATAAGCCAGGGCAGTGACACCAAGCCAGGCCAGCTGTCGCCACGTCTGTTGCCATGTGCTTGCCGTTAGGAGAAGAGCCAGTTTGGGGAGGGTGGGGGAAGAGAGCCAGTCTCACTTAAGAACGTACTTGATGGAGCTGTAACAGTTACTAATTTTATTGTTTCTATTCTTGAGTACTCTTTAATGTTCTGCATTGATACAGGGAGCACCCATGTGGCACCTTGTAGCACACCAAAGCCTAGTGGTTGTCTTGAGGGGAAGCGCTTGTGCTGTTCGTTTGGGTTACTAGATGCACTAAGCCACCTGTTTTTTTCTTTTTGGAAACACCATTTTTACTTAAAAATGACAGACATTTTCTTGAAAATGAACGCAGAGAGCAGTTTGGGAAAAAGTAACTGACAAGTATTTGCTGCCTAAATTTTCAAGTGAAAATTTTAATTTTGGAAGACTTGTATCTGTCACTGTGAGCCTGATAAAATCCCAATACGTAATATACTTTTTGATGAAATTTTTGATGATTTTAGTGAGCGTGATTTTTTTGATATATCATGGAATGTGTTAACTTTAGAAGATCTGCGTAACTCTGTGAACCAGTGTATTTTCCAGGTGACCAATGCATGATTTTCAAAATCACACAGGGTTAATTGATCCATTCAAAGTACAAAACAGACCAGTGGGTTTTAATTTAACAGAAGATGAAGAGAGCATTGGTTTGGATTCAGATTGCACATTGTGCTGACCTCAAAGAAAACTCTACTTGTTGAGTATTAGTATACTATCAAAGAATAGTCACCATCATCTGAAAAGACTTAAAATTCTCCTCCCTTTTCCAACTGCTTATCTGTGTGAGGCTGGATTTTCTTCCTACAGTTCATCCAAAATAACATCCCAACAGATTGAATTACAGAGGCAAATATGGGACTCTAGCTACCCTCTCTTAGGCCAGCTTTAAAGATGTGCAAAAACGTAAAACAATGCTTTTTTTAAAAAATTAAAAGTATGATTTATGTTAACATGGAATAGGTTTATTGTTCTTTTTAAATGAAATGAATATTTAAAATTTCTTCACGCCATAGCTGTTAATACAAGTAACCTGCACCAATGAACACTCTTTGGATCCTCATAATTTCCAAGAATATAAAGGGGCTTTGAGACCAAATAGTTTGAAGCCCACTGGCTTAGAGTGAATGGTTTCTTATATTAGAGTCTGTAGGAGAGGGATCTCTTTTATCTAGAGCTTGGCACTTGTGGGTGGTTCTCAGTAAAAATTTGATGAGAGGGAGGGGGGAGGAAAGACGACTGAGAGCACTTTTTATGATGAGTGTGAATTTTGAAGAGTTGGTTTTTGACCTGGATAACTTTCTGACTCCCTACAGATAAGAAACCTGATCGGGAAGAAATTCAGATGAGCAGTATGGGATCAAACACGAAATCATTAGGTAGGTGATTGATTTCTGCCTAAGCATGTGGAGGAGCAGGTCACTGGGACGAGGAGGGCTGTCCGGCGCTGCACTTCTCTCCAGCAGCCTCACTGTTTGCCGTCCTCAAGAGTGCTGGCTGCACATTGCACTGGAAGGGTTCGAAGGCATTTAGTAAAACCTGATCTATTTACCTTTCCCCACATTTCCAAATGTTCAGAGGTTAAAAAAGAAAACGCTTTATGCCTCTGCATCACCACAGAATCTTCTGTGTCCCTGAGCTGTGCTCACGGCCTTGCTCAGTCTGCCCCCGGGTCTCTGCCGCCCTGCTCTCCATGTCCTCTGTCTCAGCCCACCTAGTCCCCTTGCTATCCTATCTCTCCACTCCTTACTCTCCTTATTTTGCTCTTATAATACCTCCTTTTGGAATGCCCTTCCCAACGGCTTTCTAAATTGTCTTCATCCCTAAAGGCTTGGCTGAAGTCCTGTCTTCTTCGTTAGGTCTTGCCTGACTATTGCAACTCACCTCACCTCACTGTCTTCTCCTAACTCCAGTACTCTGCATAGACAGATCTCTTCAGTTTAGCTTTATTATTACTTGTGGTATATATTGCCCTCCTGGTTAGACATAAGTTTTTTTATGTCAAGAACTGCCAGACCTTAATGCCTTTCTGGAGCATTTGGTAAAGTTCAGTGTCCAGCAGAGGTGCCTGATTCACGTTTGTCTGCTTAATACGTATTTTACACTAGAGGGGAGTACCATGTCTCTGTGTACATTTTTTCTTTCCTTTTTTGTAAACTAGATAACAGCTATTCCACGCTGAATGAGAGAGGGGACCACAGCAGAACACTGGATCGATCCGCAGATCTGGGCGAGACGGAGCCGCTGAAGGGGGCGCCCCTGATGGTAAATCCTCTTCAGGGGCTGTGTCCTGCTAAGGCCGGCTCTGTTTGGAAGCCTGCATGTTCTGTGAATTAGGGAAAAAGTCTGTAATGAAAGATAGCATCCTTTTCTTGAAGCATTTTTTTTTTAGGGAAAAAGTAGGACTTTTGATTCACATTGATATTTCTTGGGCCATAATTCTATGATGGTCGAGATGGGAGAAGCAAGGTTGTTGTGAATGTGTTGCGTGTATGACTAACGCCGACTGATCTATCCTCACAGTACTCGTTTTCTATTCCTGCCTTTTCTCAAATATCTTGCTGTTCCCTTACTACTATTGCCTCGTTTTGTTTGAGTTTACAGATGTGGGGGTTTTCCCTGGGTCTGGCACTCATTCGTGAGGTTCCTGTTTTCTTACTCTCCTACTAACAAATCGCATGTGTTCACAGCAGGACGAGGGGCAGGAACCTCTGGAGGAAGAGTTGGATGTGTTGTTTGTGGATGATGAGGGGTACCCCATGTCTCACCCCCCCATGGTATGTCCTCTAGCCACCCCCAAGATCATCCCCGAGGGATGAGGACCCTGTGTGCCAGCAGCTTGCCAATCATGCCAGCCCGATCACTCTCGGCCACGTGGGGTTTTGGGGGCGCTGCTTCTGTGATTGTCACCTCTTGAGAGGCCATTAGTGATCTGATTTTCCATTTATGCCACTTCCTTCCCTCCAGATTTGTTCAGCTATCTTTTGGTTCTCCTTATTCCCAACTGTGCTAACATGTCTTTCTCTTTTTTTCCCTACAGCAGAAGATTTAGCACCACTCTCTCTGCTGCATCTGGGCTTATAATATATGTACTTTTATGTTTTGGTGGTGAAATGGACTGATGATTTTCCCTTTCTTCGCTGGACTGTTGTGCCAACTGCCAGGCTGCCTCCTGCCCTGATGGCCATAAGTGGCTGCCTTCTTTCCATCAACTCCTGACGTCTTCCAGTGAAGCTTAATTGTCCCTCTTCCCTCCTCCAGACCCCTCCAGTCACTCCCAAGAAGCCTGACTCAGTTACAGACCTATCTTGAGAAACTGCTGCAGATTAGCTTTTTTTGCCAGCTCTCCCTGGAAATCTTGGCCTTGTGTGGAGGGAGGGAGAAAGTGGGACTCTTCACTGGAAGCCTTGGGAAGAACCGGAAGTTACATGCTATACATGCCGTGTCCAGCAATCTGATAAACTGATGATTCTTAATCAAGATTTTTCTTTTCCTGGTGGGGAAGGGAGCTTTTTTAAATTTTTTTTTTTTGAGAATGGAAAGTGTGAGCTCTTCTTTTATTCCTAATGACTATTTTTGAAGCAAAGAAGGCCGGCAACATTGGCACATCCCACTTGGCAAGGGCCCTTGAGTAAGTGAAGGTTTCCTAGAGGGGAGAGTAAGACACCTTGCCCTCCTTCTCTCCGGGGCGGGACCATCCAAGGACCTGCAGCCCCCATCTCTTCCCCAAGCCCCCTGCCAACCCCGGCTGCTGCGGCTGCCCCCGCTGAGGCTGTCCTGGATCCTCCTCCCCCAGTCCCTGGTAATGTCGGCTGACTCGGTCTGGCCCTTTGCAAGAGGCTATAGAAAGAGGAGAATGTGTCAAGGAAGACTTTTTTTGGGTGTGAAGGAGCAGAAAGATGTCTTCTGGGGAGGAGAAGAGCTTCTGGGAGGAGCTAGTAGGAATGTACATGATTTATTTAGTCTGAAACTGGCAGGAAGCTTCCCAGCTGGCTCCCCCCACCCTGCTTTCTCCTCGCCTCACCCCTGCAGCCCTGTCCTGCCCCCACCTCCCCCCCTGGACTGGCTGGCGGACTAAAGGACGTGATGTACATACTCCTGCCCCCTCCACCCTGAAAAGGTGGGGTTCGCCCCTGGCTCTGCCTCTTCTTTGTGCCTTTGGCCTGGGGTGCATCTCCTCCTTCCCTTCCATGTGCCTTTCTTTGCCTCTGCAGTCTCATTTCTCATGATTTTGCAAATTATACTTTGTTGCTTTCTGACCTACTGTTGGCCCCAAATAGCAGAAAGAGGAGAGGGAACCTAGAGACCCTCCATCTCTCCACTGGGAATTGGAACAGCCTCTGATTTTAGCCATAGAAGGTTTTTGCTCAACTGTATATGTTGGGGTTTTGCAAAAGTCCTGTTCTGATGAGTCTCCAGATGAGGTTGGTTGCCCAGGATCACCTTCATCTCTGAAGGGGTTACAGGGAAGGCGTGTCCATCCCCGCCTCCTTGCCCCTGCCCCGCCCCGCTCCTTCCCTCATCCAGTTAGTGTATATTTGCAGGTTGGGCTAGAGGAATCAGCTGCTATGCGGTTGATTTTTTTTTTATAAACCCTGTCCCTTATTTACTTTTTACTCCTTCCCTTAATCTAAAAGCTGTTCAAATGCAACTGGAAATCTTTATTCTCCTCCCTCCCCCTTCCCTAATATATTGAGGCTTTGGGGTAGGAGAAAAGTGCACAGCCCACCACCCTCCTCCCCCTTTCCCTAAGCATTACAGTCCTTATTTACCCCTGCCTCCTCACCCTACTTGCCACTCCTTTTCTGGCAAAAAGGAGCCTCTTCCCTCTGTGGCTCAGCCGACTGCACAGGGGAGACCGCCCCACCCAGGCCTGGCTCCACTCTTGGTTTCTCTCGTCTTCTGCTCCTTTCCTGGTGCTCTTCTTGTCGGTGGGGTGTGGGTAATAGAACAGCCATAGGCTTTGGGGACCTTTATCTGTTTTTTCCTTTTCATTTATAAAAACACTAAACATTCAATTTCAGAGAACCAAAAATCCCACCTTCCCACCGAACACTACTAAGGGGCGTGTCTTCTGCTCCATACCTTTTCTGTTTTTCTTTCTCTCTTGTTAATGCTTTTAAAAACAAATGAGTTTTTTATATAAATAAAGTTTTTAAAGTGTGTATGTGGGGGGTCTGTGTCATTTCTTCACTTTAAGCTGTATCTCTTCTCTCCTGTTCATCTTGATTACTTCATTATATATCAGTGTCCTTTTTCTCTCCAGAGCACCCAGAGGGGATTGTACCAGGATGGATTTATTTTGAGCCCAATCCCAGCTCTTAACAAGGAACATTCTTTTAATTATATATGAAACACATTTCCTCTGAAGAATCTTAAAAATTAAATGTAGAGTATGGGAAGCTTATTGCTTAACTTACAGATCGGAAACTGAAGTATAAAGAATTAATACATTTCTTAGTCACTGGGATTCTTTTGTGACATCTGACAAAACTAATGTTGAATAAAGCTCTGCAATACATGACCGTCTTGAACATATTCATGAGTAGAAGATTAGAAGCTACCAAGTCCAGCTGTCATCCTAATAAGTATGGAAATGTAGAATTAAAAGGCTCACTGGGCCATGAGGTTGCTTCGCAGGCTGTCTGCCATCCTTTAGTAAGATGGTGAGGGGCAGGCCTGTCTCTTCCTCCATGTCCTACCGAGTAACGTGGGTTGGCAGCAGATACTCAGATCACCAGGGGTTGTCTGTACTGTGGAGGCCAAGGGTTAAGACCTCCGGAAAGGGGCCTTGTCACCTTGTTAAGATGAGAATCGATGTAAAATGCTCTTTGTATGCCCAGTCTTTAGATTAAAAATGCACAGCTATTTCTGGTGATGCTCATGTCTCAATTTTGTTGAACTAGGTCTTGGGTATGAGAGCTTCCTTGGGCTAGTAAGACCTGGACATCTTCTCACTGTGGCTGATAGCTTTTAAAGCGTGGCCTGCGTCCAGCAGTTGTAGTTTTAGAACGGTGAAGCGCAGAGCCGGGGGCCTTCAGAGCCTGCTTTGTAGAGAGAGCTGGTAGCCCTGCTTGAGTGTTTTTTTTCAATGTAGAGAAAGCTGGCTATTGATAAATAGCCTTCATTTCTGTTATATTTATTATCCGCTGGCATTGCGCTACACACAAACCTTACTCTCCTCTCCCTGGATTGGTCCATTTGTTTTATCTCATTCAATAAATGTTTCCTCAGCATCTTCCATGTATCAGGCATTGTTGTGTACACCAGATTTAGATGAGAGAATGAAAGAGGTGGACCCTTTCTCATATCGATAGCAATCCATGAGAATCTGTGCTCTTTTTAAAAAAACATTCCTCCGCCCTTAACTAAAACATGATGTTAAAAAGAATGATCTATAGAGTCCCTATATCTTTTTTCTGGACACTGATTTAGTAACACTTTTGAAGCCTCTTGGTGTCTCTTAACACCAGCTTTAGGAATCCTGTGTATTTTGTCAAGATTTGCCAACTTACTCCCTGATCTTTACAGCCTGAATTTTTATTCCCCACTCCCACCAGAGATGGTAATAGGTTATGCCCAGCCACCCTTCTGCCTCAGTGATGCTTTTTTTGTGAACATGTTTGTGAAGTAGCTACAGTGAGTCTTGCCGTGACATTCTTTCTGACAGAACTCAGAGCTGATTTCTTCCTGAACTAATACGCTTTGTTATCAATTAGAAATATTTCACCCAGGAAGAGCTAAGAGCCAGTTATTCTCGACTTATTTTTCACTGTTTATCTCTGAAGTACTGGGTAGTAAAGATTTATCTTGGTATTTTCATAGATAGTTGTAGACCACCTATACCTAGTCTTACAGATCAGAACAAGTACACAGGAATTACCTGGGAAGCTTGTTAAAAATGCAGATTTTCGTGCTGCATTTCCAGAAATTGCTTCAATAGGTGGGACTCAGGAATCCTGAAATCTTAAGTAACCTCGGTTATTCAAATGCCTGTGGTGAGTTAATTGCAACTTGAGACACTGATCTGAAGACTTGCTTAAGATTTCAGCCTCAGACTATAATAGAATCCAGGATGACTGGCCTCAGCTCCACTGGCAGTAATACTAGTTTCATGGTGGGTGTGGTAACAGCCACAAAAAAGAGTTCATTGAGGAAACAATGTTTATCTCAAAGGTATGAATTGATGACTGTAGAATTTGAGATACTAGTGACAGGCTGATCCATTGCATGTGGGTAGGAGAAACTTCTTTTGCAATATCATGTCATCTGTGCTGATGGAAGATAAACTTCTCCCTTGATATGGGGCCCTCCAGAGCAGTAGAGAATTCCCTAACAAATTTTAACAGAAGTGTCACTTCTGGCTACAAACAAGAGTATCCCAACTGGGGAGCAAGTGGCGGCATTGACCAAAACCAGGGAGATGTGTCTGGAAATGTAAATCACTCCCAAGGACAACCTATCTAAAGAAAACAAAAAACATTGTAGGAGCAAAGTTTTTTTTTTTTGGATGCACCACGTGACTTGTGGAATCTTAGTTTCACTGAGAATTAAACCCAGGCAATGGCAGTGAAAGACTGGACTCCTAACTGCTAGAAATGATCAGGGCCTACTACCCACAAATGGGTTGAGTCAAGAGCTTTATACCTGTCAGTGTAATTGCAGGACCCTTTAATATTGTAAGCTTGTGGCAACTAGCTATTTAGCTGAGGAAAAAATGCCATGCTTGTCACCACATACGTTTCTATCTTTATTGTTTGAAAAGGCAGATTCTCCCAGTTTCATTTAGGATACAGAAGGCATTAATATCTCGCTGTCTCTCCCCAGGGGTTTCTAGTGTTCATGGACGTAGTTTGAATGCCACAAGGCATTTGTGCCTGAGGAAAAGAAATAGGAGAATATTCATGGTCATGTGCTGGGCACCTCACTACTCTAGTATTCATTTCAGTCCTTTGTTCCATCTTTAAGGCAAAGTTAGCACTGGCCTTTTGCAAGCTTGGCACTCTGGTCCTTTTTACAGTCCACTCTTGTCAGACTCAAGGGTCAGAAGAA